CTAAAAGTGTCAAACCCAAAAAATTTAGTGGTCAAAATTTTCGTAAGTGGCAAAAACAAGTTCGATATTGGTTGACCATACTAGGCTTAATTTCTACTATAGAAAAGCCTCAACCTTGTCAAGTGTTCTCTTCATGGTATACCCTTGAACAAATTAAATATCACTGTCTTAATAGAATTCTTAGTGCACTTTCTGACCATCTACCATAATACTACAACAACCGCTAAAGAGTTTTGGAACACTTTATAAGCCAAGTATGGGAATATTGATACTGGAATTAAACGGTTTATGATCTCTAATTTCAATAATTATAAAATGGTGGAGAATAAACTCGTTGGTGATTAAATTCATGAATATCAAGAATTTTTTGAGGAAAATTGAAAAGGGTGGAACTACATTTATTGAAGATTTTAAAGTTTCAAACTTAATTTACAAACATTCACCTTTTTGGGATAATTTGGCTAAGACCTTTAGGCATAAGCAAGGAGAGTTAACCTTAACCCAAACTATAAATGCGCTTAAGGTTGAAGAGAATCATAGGGTTAATACAAACTCACAAAATGAGAGACCCCCTAAAGTAAACCTAGTGAAAAATAGTAACAACAACCATACCAATTTCCGACCTAGTGGAAGAAATTTTAAGAATAAGAGATTTAATAGTCGTCCTAATAATGGTCAAAAACAAAACTATCAAAACAATAATAATAATAATAAGTTCAAGGGCTTAGGGAGGGAGAGGATGTCTTTCTTTGTTTGTGGACGAAAACCAATCACTTGGCTAAGGATTGCTACTACAAGAAGACTAAGACGTATAAGCCAAAGCCCAAGTCAAATCAAAGAGGTCCAAGAACCCAAGTCAATGTTCTAGTAGATGAAGATAATTCTGCTGAACCCTCCTTTAAGTATAATTGTTCCCTAATTAATTATACCTATCAAGATAAAGATTGGTGGTTAAACTTTGGTGCTAATATACATGTTTGTTTGGTCATGATTTATTTAAATCTTATCAGAAATCAAGTGGTGGAAATGTAATGCTAGAAAATGATTTCGTCGCATAAGTACTTGGAATTGGAGACAGAGTTAAAGATGACATCTGAGAAGACATTGATCTTGAAGGGAGTGTGACATGTTCCTGAAGTTAGAAGAAATTTAGTCAGTGCGTCGTCCTTAGTCGAACAAGGTTATAAAGTTGTAATAGAGTCAAATAAAGTTATGATAACTAAGAATGATATATTTATTGGCAAATGATATGTTTGTGATGGTTTATTTAAGTTGAATGTACTTTCTGAAGTTAATGAAATTTCTTATCATGTTTTCAATGTTGAATCTTGCAATGTATGACATGGAAGATTAGGACACATAAGTCTAAAGAAAATCAAAAGGATGATGGATTTTCATCTTGTTCCCAAATCTCATGTAAATTTTAAACATAAGTGTAAAAGTTGTGTATAAGTCAAACAAACTAGAAAACCTCATAAGAGCGTAGAAAGAAATACCCAACTTTTAGAACTTATACTCTTCTCCCCAATTATCAGATAAGTTGGAAGTAGTCAACATTGAATTTACCATATCCATTAAGATTCTATTTTTTCTTTCAGCTACTCCATTTGATTGAGGAGAATAAGAGTCACTTCATATATTATTTCATGTTCTTCACGAAATGTATTAAGATTAGTTAGAGTATATTCACCCTCTCTATCGGACCTTAGTCTTTTCACTCTTCTCTCTAATTGATTTTAAACCTCATTTTTATATATTTTAAACTTATTAAATACTTCCTCTTTGATCTTGATAAGATAAACATAATAATATTTAGAACAATATTATTATAACATGATCAGTTTTGCAAACAAAAAATATATTTTGTAGAGGTGGGAAAGAGAAATACAAATTTGTATGAGATAAATATAATCATTTGCGATGGGGTGTGGGTGTTGAGTAGATACATATGAAGGCTATGTTTTGTTGTGCTATGTGGAGCAATACGTATATATGTGTATTTGAGAGAGAGAAGAAACACAAAAAAAATGTGAGAGAATGTATTTCACCCGTGGGTGTTATTGGTGAGGAAAGTAGCTGTTGTCCAAAGATAGAGGGGCTTTTATAAACAATGAACCAGGATTTGTTGAAAATGGAAGGGGAAGGAGGTTCGGTACTGAGACTAAGAAAATGCAAGTATTGGAATGAAATGAGAAGTCTTTATTAGTGGAGAATTTTTTTTTTAATTATGGGTAATTTTGTCTTTTCAACAAATCTGAGATCATGACCGACTTCTGTCATTTTTCACTGCCAGCATGAGTTAATTAAAACATATTCAAACTTTGATGAGATAATTTATTGAAATTAAAATCAGAATAAGTTGATTTCAATATCACCCAAAATTAGTGGGACATTTTGTAATTAATCCTTAAAAAAGATAAAGTAGCCTCTAGCCTCTTTGTCCTGTCAATTTATGGCAGACGCTGTTCCACGGTACTTCCCATCATAAACGGAAATGAGATTTTTTTTTTATACGTGTCAACGGTGATATAGATAAAAATTTAATTTAATAAAATTATTAATAATAGCTATTGTTAATAATAAATTTTTATTTATGAAGAATTTATTAAATTTAATTTTTGTCAAAAAAAAATTAATTTTAAGCAAAAAACTCAAAAATTAGTTTATATCACCGTAAAAATACATTTATTACAATATTATCATTATTTTCTCATTTATAATATAATTTTATGTTTATAAATAAATTATAGTAACAAATAATAATTTCACTAATAAGTTTGGAAAACTAGAAATTAATGATGAAAATTTTTAAAATTTGAGGGGCGCCATGGCCTAGTTACATATGTTTTTTTATTTTTTGAGAGAGGGGGAGAAGAGAGGAGGAATTGAAAGCTTAATTTCTAAAAAATAAAAATTTAACAAAATAAAAAATATCATTAAAGACCGNCATTGTTGATGGATTAACAACGAAGGCTCTCTAAGTAACTAGGATGGTGACTTGCCCTCCTCTTAGAAGAGGTGAGATATGATGCCCCTAGTGCTTCTTAGTTGAGATCTGACAGTCCTTTTGTTTCTCGAAAGATTGTGTTTGATGCCTCTAGTGCTTCACATAATTATTTTATTTCTAGCATTAACCAAGTGTCCCTGTAGCAGGATGTGAATTTTGGAACCCTTTGGAGGTTTGTGAAACCCTTGGATGCCAGCTTTCAGGGTCTTTAGGGTATCATCGATACCGAGATAGAGGACTTTGCTATGGTACCCTGTTTTTATGTGGAACTCTCTCTTCTGTATTGGTCATGTTGACATTTTGGCTTCAGAAATTTGCATATGGCTACGACTTTTTCGTACTTTTGAGGACGCTTAAACTCAACGAAGTATCGAGAGCTTTGGTGGAAGAGAGACATGGGCACCAGGCTGTAGTTAAGGTTGGCTCATGAGAGATCAACATCTCTCGAGGCCAAGCTTCTAGAGAACGAGGTTGTTTACTTATAAGCACTGACTGAGTTAGGCCGAGCTTGTGATGACTCTCGTGAGAGCTACTAAGCTGGAGACATAGACTGCCAGTTTGAAAGTGGAACAGAGAAAGGCCAAGATTTTGGTGACTTATGAGAGAGCCATTAAGCTACAGACATAGACTGCTTGCTTAAGAGCGAAGTAGAGACAGGCCTAGCTTTTGGCAACTCTCGTGAGAGCCGTTAAGTTGGAGATATAGGTTGTATGCTTGAGAGCAGAGTAGAGATAAACCAAGATTTTGGCGACTATCATGAGAGCCATTAAGGTGGAGATTTAAGCTGCTTGCTTGAGAGCAAAGTAGGGATATACCAAGCTTTTGGTGACTCTTGTGAGAGTCGTTAAGTTGGAGATATAAGCTGCCTACTTGAGAGTAGAGCAGAGATAGGCCAAGCTTTAGGCTACTCTCGCACGAGTCGTTAAGCTGGAGATATAGGTTGCGTGCTTGAGAACAAAGTAGAGATAGGCCAAGCTTTTGGCGATTCTCGTGAGAGTCGCTAAGGTGAAGATATAGGCTGCCTACTTGAGATTAGAACTGATATAGGTTAAGCTTTTGGCGACTCTCGTGAGAGCTGCTAAGTTGGAGATATAAGTTACCTACTTGAGAGCAAAGCAGAGATAGACCAAGCTTTTGGCGACTCCCGAGAGAGCCACTAAGTTGGAGATATAAGCTACCTGTGTGAATGCAAAGTAGAGATAAACCAAGCTTTTGGCAACTCTCGTGAGAGCCGCTAAGTTGAAGATATAGGTTACCTGCTTGAGAGCAGAGTAGATATATATCAAACTTTTGGCAACTATCGTGAGAGTTGTTAAGCTGGAGATACAAGCTTCCTATATGAGAGTAGAGACAGAGATATACCAAGTTTTTGGCGACTCTTGAGAGAGCCGCTAAGCTAGAGATATAAGTTGTCTGCTTGAGAGCAAAGTAGAGATAAGTCAAGTTTTTGGTGACTCTGGTGAGAGCCTCTAAGCTGGAGATTGAGACGTGGGCGTCGTTGGGCACAGATGACGAGGAGCACTGGGCGCTGCTAGGCATGGACGTCGAGTGGTGTTAGGCACCGCTGGGCACAGACACCAAGGGGCGTTGGATGCTGCTAGGCATGGACATCGAGGAGTGCTGGGTACAGGTGCGGTGGCGCCAAAGATATGGGTGACAGGGGGAGACACCATGGGCCAACTGGGCAACACCGTGGCTAGAGGTAGAGGACGATGCCACTGGCAGTGGCTGGGAGACACCATTGGGCAGTTAGGGATGATAGTGGATCGGAGAAAAATAGGTATTCATCCAAATTCGATTTCGTTTGGACCGGAGATGAACTATACGTATTGGACGGTGGACATATACGAAGATACCCGTATAAACCTGTGCGGGAATAGAGGGAGGGATTTATTTACCCTTAGCCCCCCCCCCCCCCCCCCCCCCCTCCTCTTGTCTCTTTCTCTCTCTCTTCATTTGTTGCCTTTACTGAACGGAACTTGCCCTTTAAAACATGGCTTCTGCAATTTTCTGCATCGTACCCATACTTTTTTCTCTCCTTCTCCTTCCATGTGAAGCACATGTAATCATACACCCCTTTGAATATATATACCAGTTGGGAGATTCATTGGCGGATACAGGGAACCTCATTTGCCAAAGCGCCACCACCGGCAAAACACCGGCCGCTGCCCATCTACCATACGGCGAAAGCTTTCGTGGCGGGCCCACCGGTCGCTGTTCCAATGGTCTTCTCATCATAGACTTCGTCGGTAATTAAGCTACCTTAAACATTTGTTCCTCCCATTTATTCCTTCTTTTTTTTTTTGGGGTTAATCTCATTTTACACCCTGAAAAATCGTTCGATTTATACCCTCAAAAATAAAAATTTGTATCAATGTACACCCCCAAAGATCAAAAATCTCAATTTGTACCCTCAAAGATAGAAATCTGTATCAATGTGCACCTAAAACTAAATTGATAAATTATACCTAGATCCCCTCATGTTTGTCACTTAATCATTTGAACCCCTTCACATTTAGAATATTATCCCTACATCTCATGACGTTTGTACATGTGTAAACATAATCACTTTTCGTTGATATCTATTAATATAATCGTTAAAAAATATAATTTTATCCTAATAAAAAATTATAATTTCATATTACCCTTTATTTTGTGGATTCGATATACTCTAAAGTTCAAAATCAAGCTTACCATTTGAATGTCTAATAGAATGTAGATATTTATAAAAAGGAAAATATGAAAAACATTATATAAATATCTACATTTTATTAGACATTCAAATGGTAAGCTTGATTTTGAACTTTAGAGTATATTGGACCCATAAAATAAGGGTAATATGAAATTATAATTTTTTATTAGGATAAAATTATATTTTTTAACGGTTATATTAACAGATATCAATGAAAATGGGTTACATGTTGTACGTGCATAAATGTCATGAGATGTAGGAGTAATATTCTAAATGTAAAGAGGTCCAAATGATTAAGTGACAAACATGAGAGGATCTAGGTATAATTTATCAATTTAGTTTTAGGTGCATAATGATACAAATTTCTATATTTGAGAGTGCAAATTGAGATTTTTTATCTTTGGGGTGCACATTGATATAAATTTCTATCTTTGAGGGTGCAAATTGAGATTTTTGATCTTTGGGGGTGCACATTGATACAAATTTCTATCTTTGAGGGTGCAAATTGAGATTTTTGATCTTTGGAGGTGCACATTGATACAAATTTCTATCTTTGAGGGTGCAAATTAAGATTTTTACTCTTTGAGGGTACAAATTAAAATTTGAACTATCTTTCGGGGTGTAAAATAAGATTAACCCTTTTTTTTTTTCTCAAAGAACCCGACATGACACTAAGTGATTTAATGTTAGACTAGCTCCTGAGACAAACACGATACGATAATAAAATGATATTTTCGGTTTTTTATAACTCTCAAATAAGAAGACAGAGAAAATATAGTAATAATTTCTAAAAAGATGGCCAGATGACTTGAGGAATCAAAAATAAAATAAAATAATAAACCACGGGTAGGCCAATGGAAAGTTATTCGATAATTACTTTATAAGCGAATTATATTTTATAAATTGAAAATTTTAAAATTTTCAATTTACATTTTCAAAGAATAAAATTTCTATATTACACATTTAATATATCAAAAGTGTTGTAATGTGATCCTTCTGTTTACTATTCGTTAATTTTTTCTTCGACTTCAATGGGTTATCTTTTGACAAAAAAAAAAAAAATAACAAAAGTTAGCAGAAGTCATATTGCAACATTTTTTATACATTGAAAATAAAATATGAGAAATTTAATATTTGAGGGTATAAAGTAAGAAAATCTTAAAATCTTTTAGGGTATAAAATATGAAAAACCCTTACTTTATACACTCCAAAAAATTAATAATTACTTTGTGTATATTTAAGTTCAAATTTGTAAATAAACACTTTGTACTCTAAAAGATTCTAAAATTTTTAATTTAAAACATGAAAGATTAAAAATTCTCACATTACACATTCAGTCAAATATAAAATAACAATGTAATCCCAAAATAAATGTGTGTTGCCTTTTTTGATAAATTTCTTTGTTGCATTTTTCATATTATACTGTTTCTGTATACAATTTCAATTTTAATTATTTTTAATAGCAATTTTGTACCGAACCTTCTTAAAATAGAGTACACTGTTATCTTTTTGTTTGATTGCGGATCTAATATCACAATTTCAATTTTTTAATTTGTGAAATGAGAATGCAAGCATCTTTCAAGGTGCATAATATAATTTATTCAGCAAAATTATACCCCATTTCATATAATTTTATAATCTCTTAATGAAGTTATAGCTACTAAGTCTAGAAAAAATGTAGATTGAATCAATTTTCTATTAAAACAAAAATATAAAGTTAATATGATAAGATTTCTTGGGTTTTTAGTTGATGCGGTGGACCAAGAGTTAATTACAGATCTATCATATTTTAGAAAATATTTTTATCACTTTACCATTGTTTTGATCTTATTTATCGAATTACGACACTTTTTTGAAAGTGTGTTTAATAAACACATTTTTACGTAAAAATGTGTTAATGAAACATGCTTTTAAAAGACAATGGTAAAGTAAATTCGAATACGTGTGTTTTGTAAACATGTTTTTTATGCATACTTTCTTCCAAAAAATGTAACGAGCTGTAAACCTTGCGCGTTTGAATGACCTTTCACACTCATGTGAAACTTTTTATTATGGTTCGTTTGATAAATTATACAAAGTTAATATGATAAGATTTCTTGGGTTTTTAATAGATGTGGGGACCAAGAGTTAATTACACATCTATCATATTTTAGAAAATATTTTTATCACTTTACCATTGTTGTGAACTTATTTATTGAATTACGACACTTTTTTGAAAGTGTGTTTAATAAACACGTTTTTACGTAAATATGTGTTAATGAAACATGCTTTTAAAACACAATGGTAAAGTCAATTCGAACATGTGTGTTTTGTAAATATATTTTTTATGCATACTTTCTTCCAAAAAATGTAACGAGCTGTAAATCTTGCGCGCTTGAATGACCTTTCACACTCATGTGAAACCTATTATTATGGTCCATTTGATAAGAGGATGAAAAATAAGAAGAATAATAAAACATGAGAAGATGAACTTTTCATCCTCTTATTTTCCTTCATTCTTTTTTTTTTTTTTTTGTTTGCTTGGATCCGTCATTTTCTTTGGTACGATGAATGAGGGATTGAAAAGTAGGAAAAATAACTAGGTGGACCGACCACCAAACTAGCTCAACCACTTGGGTCAACATCTACAACGACCATGCAACATCTCAGTCGGCATTCTACACATCTGTTAGCCAATAGACTATCTGTATAAACTTTCTAAAACTTATAGTACATCAACTTAAATTGATCTACTAGTTAATTTTACAATTTATTTTTTAATAACACTAAATATGTTAATTGCACAAAATATTTTAACTATATTTATATTATGACTACTATAAACATTTAAACTATACTTATATTTTAACCACAATAAATATTTTTAAAAACTCACATATTAATCACTCGCGCATTTTTAACCAGAATAAATATTTTTACCATTCATTTACATTTTAAATATGGTAAAAAAGACAACAAAGACTTACATCAATTAAAACTATGGTCCAACAATTAACTTGCAATTTACATTTAAACCCTGTAAATATTTAACTATATTTATACTTTAATCACTGGACAAATTTTAACAAAATAAATATTTTTTTCGGAAAGTGATTTTAACAACAATAAATATTTTAACAACTCATTTACATTTTAACTATTAAAAAAAAAAGAATGCATTACATGTCACTTAGAAATATGTGTGTGTGTGTGTGTGCACGTATTAGGTTTTAAAACATCATCTTTTCTGCAAGACTCCTAGTACCAGACAACTTAATCAATACTGNTTTTTTTCGGAAAGTGATTTTAACAACAATAAATATTTTAACAACTCATTTACATTTTAACTATTAAAAAAAAAAGAATGCATTACATGTCACTTAGAAATATGTGTGTGTGTGTGTGTGTGTGTCCACGTATTAGGTTTTAAAACATCATCTTTTCTACAAGACTCCTAGTACCAGACAACTTAATCAATACTACAACACACTCGTCAATGTCAAACAATCTTATCAATCTACACCTACTTTTTTTTTCTCTCTTCATTTTAATTTTATGTTGCGTAATTAAAAAAAATCAAATAGCTATTTAAAATATAAATATTGAAGAATCAATATTTGATTTTTCAATTTGCGTTCAAGCACGGAGTTATCACTACTATATAATGAGTTAGAAGCTCAATTATGATCCGTAGATATTTTTTTTGCTCATTTCTATTACATCTTACATTTTTATTACTAGTTAAATTATTTAATTTTGTATCAATTTATGGCTTAATACAAATTTTATTTCATATATTGTTCATATATGATGGTGTACACATGTTAATATTTTTTGAGGTCATGTGTTTTGAGAAAATTTTGTCTATTCTTTTAAAATAATAATTGACAAAAAATAATTTTAAATTATGTAATTAAAAAAGAAAATGAAAGAAAAATTATTAATTGATATAGTAGTATTATTTTTTTAGNTCAATTTATGGCTTAATACAAATTTTATTTCATATATGATGGTGTACACATGTTAATATTTTTTGAGGTCATGTGTTTTGAGAAAATTTTGTCTATTCTTTTAAAATAATAATTGACAAAAAATAATTTTAAATTATGTAATTAAAAAATAAAATGAAAGAAAAATTATTAATTGATATAGTAGTATCATTTTTTTAANTCTATTCTTTTAAAATAATAATTGACAAAAAATAATTTTAAATTATGTAATTAAAAAAGAAAATGAAAGAAAAATTATTAATTGATATAGTAGTATTATTTTTTTAGACGTTTAGACTTTATGTTATATCGTGCCTTCAAGCGCAAGCAATGACTAATGTATGTATATATATGTATATTTGCAAGGTAAGTAGGTTTATTCTTGTCTTTCTTCTTTGCCATTTCTTTTTAACCGGAGCCTTGACAATGGACTTTGTTTTCCTATCCCTTTAAACAGCTTAAAGCCTTTTCATTTGCAGTTCAGTGTTTTATGTGGTGGATTTTCATATTCCTTTCGCATCATTGTTTGGAAGGAAAAAAAAAAACTATCTGTTTTCGTATGTGTGGCATCCAGATTTTCTGATTTTTTCTTTTTTTTTGGGGAGGGGGGGAGAGATAGGGAGGGGGAGGGGGTTTGAACTCTTGACCTTAAGAAGACAAATTCTTCACAAGCACCCAATATTAAATCACAAATATAGAGGAGACAGAAATGAATTTAAGTACTAATTTTAGTAGAGGTGAGTGATAGTATTGATGGTAGGTGATAGTGGTGGTGGTGGAGGGAGACGCTGACGGTTATGGTGGGTGATGACAATCATGGTGGTGGTTGCAGTTGTGGATTTCAAAGGTGATGGTGATGGTGATGATGGGTTTTGGGTGACGATGGTGGTAACGACAACCATGGGTGACAACGTTGGTGGTGGTGGGTGTAGGTGATGGTGGGCGACGATGATGATAGTTGACAATGATGATAGTGGAGCGACGACGGTGGTGGGCGGTGACGATAGTGGTGGTGGGCGACGACGGACGTTTCTGGGCAATAGTGTGATGAGTAATGGCGAATGGCGGCTACAGTGGGGGTGGGTGACACTGACGAACGATGATGGTGGGCTGCAATGGGTGGTGGTGAGTTGTGGCAGTGGGTGGCGATGGTTGGTGATGAGCAACAATAGTGGTAGTGGGTGCTGACAACAAGCAACAGTTACAGAGAGATGATGATGGTAGTGGTAATAAATATAAAAATGAGATGCCGATGATCGTGAGTGATGGCGGTGGATGACAGTGTGAACAATCAGTGGTGGGTGGCGATGGTGAGGGTGGTGGTAGTGGCGGTGGTCGTGGTAGTGGTGATGGTCGTGGGGGTAGGGTGGTGAGGTGATGGTGGGATAGCGACCGTGATGGTAGGGTGGCAGTAGCGGTGGCAGCTACGATAGTGATGGTGGTGGTTGTAGTTGGGAAAATGGTTCTGGGGGCGGTAAAGGGTGTGGTGGTACTGGGTGGCAACAATGATAGTAGCAGCAACGGTGGTGGGGGTGGGGCAGTGGTGGGGGTTGTTGTGGCAGAGGTGGTGGTGGGATGGTGGTGGTAGTGGTAATTGTAATGATGATTGTGGTGGATCGGTGGGGGTGGTGGTCCTGGCGATGGTGGTGCTAGGGTGGTGGGGGCGGTGGTAATAGTGATGGTGGTGGTATTGGTGATGGCGGGGGTTTTAAACACTATTTTTTTTTTAAAAAAAATGTATTTGTGAGAAGTTATAAGTTTTAGAAACATTTTTAAAAAGTTGTCATAAACACACCCTTAGGAACCTATTTTTTCTACTGAATTTGAGATGTTAATATAAAAATCGGATTAATTTTAAAGTAAAATTTAAAGAGATTTCAACCACGAAAAATAAAAATTATTTTGTTTATCTTTTGAAATTTAAATTGTATTGTATTCCCTCCGTTCCTAAATATCTGTCGTTTTACACAATTTTTTTTGTTTCATAATATCTGTCGTTTTATGAAACCAAAGCATAATAAATATTTTTACTTCCAAATTTATCCTTATCTCTATTTTCCAATAAGTGCTTAATAGATTAAGCATAGACTAAGTGTTTTTCATATTCTTTTCCTTCCCAATATGTATTGAATAAGGGTATTTTAGACTTATGTAATTATTTTTTACTCATATTAGAGTTATTTAATAGTTTTTTTAATCCCTGTGCAAAAATTTTAAACGACAGATATTTTAGAACGGAGAGAGTACTTTATTATATAAATTTGAGATGACTTCTTGAATGACCTCATTAAATAAATTTCAAATTGCACCATTATTTAGTCCCCTCACCATAAAATCATGGGTCTGCCTCTATTTGTGTGTGTGTGTCTGTGTTTTAGTAGAACAATAAACATGGCTAAATTTATTTTATGTGGCTAATGATTGACAGCCATTGCTCTTTCTCTCCCATTGCTTAATCCTTATCTCGATAGCAACGCCACATTCGATCACGGTGCCAACTTTGCAGTAGCCGGAAGTACAGCATTGGACTATACTTTCTTCACCACAAAGGGCGTTTATAATCCATCCACTAATATTTCCTTGGGCGATCAGCTTAATTGGTTTAAATCCCACCTCAACACCATCTGCCTTACACCAGCAGGTTTGTATAGTTTGTTGCTATTCCACGATTGTTTTAAAACTTCATTCCCCAAGTGCTGTGACTTATATCTAAATCATAGTATCTTTCAGAGAAACTGTGGTTGTTTATCTACGCTCTTTAATATAAATGCTGGACAGTACGCTTTCAATAAAAAAAAAGATTTATTTATGCTTTTACATTGAAAAGTTGTATCATCAAAACTACGATGATTTCAGGAATAAAAACCCCATTGGAATGTGACTTTCTATGCAGCATCAAGAAATTACTTTTGATACCATGGAAAATCCTATAACTCAAATTGTCTGAATTTTTTCCTTTATGTTAATTCAGAATGTAAAGAGGTGCTTAGCAAGGCTCTTGTCTTTGTGGGTGAGATTGGAGGCAATGACGTTAACCATCCTCTCATACAAGGCAAATCCATTCAAGAGATTTACACTTATCTGCCATATACCATAGAGGCCATTACTAATGCTATTAGAGTAAGTTTCTATATGATTATTATCAAAGTTTAGTTATTTCCAACCTTTGCCTATAGAAGTTATTAGGCAGCTCAATACATGGGACTCCGGTTACTATGGAGTTTTGGAAAGGTTAAATGTACACAATTTTACTTTGCACACACATAAACTATTCCTACAATCCAGGTAATGTAGTTATTATGTACCATAATTCACTTTGGTGTCATTATCATGTTGTGCAGGAAGTGATACACCTTGGTGCTGTGAATATTGTTGTTCCCGGAAATGTTCCAATAGGATGCTTACCGGTTGGCCTGACAGTAGTCTCTGGTGGTAATGAGACAGCCTATGACGATATGGGATGCTCAAAAGAATTAAATGAGCTAGCATTGGTTCAGAACAACTATCTTCAAGAGTCTTTATCTTTGCTCAGGCAAGAATTTTCTCACGCTGATATAATTTATGCTGACTACTACACAGCTTACAAAACAATTCTTTATGGTGCAGCTGATTTCGGTGAGTAGTTCAAAAAAAAAAGGCAAAATCAACATGTTCATGTGATTTATGCTCTTAAATGACGAATTATGGAATTGTAATCCATGTGTATGTAGGGTTCGACGAAAAATCGCTATTAAAATCATGTTGTGGAATTGGAGGGCTATATAACTATGATCATAATAGAGAATGTGGGTCTCGCGGTGTGCCTGTTTGTCGTAACCCGACTCAATACATAAGCTGGGATGGAATACATTTGACACAGGAGGCCTATCGCCATATTACAGAAATTCTCTTACCTGATATCCTCCCTGGAATACGATACATTTAGTAGATTCGACTATATGTAAAGCTTGGATAATTTCTACAGAATGCAAAGTGGTTAAGATGAGTAAGTTATTGTACATGAAAGTACTGTATGACCTTCATCAATTTATGATAAAGGGTGTAATCACTGCACTATTTGCAAATCAAAGGCTTTTATTTACCTTTCGAGAAAATAATCATCTAATTTATTTGCCTGCGACAGCTTCATCTAAGTGCAGTAGGAAATTGAACTCTCTTTCAAATCGTAGACCTTGTAATCGGAGAAAGACTGAAGGAGGTACTTGGTCATGGGCTTCTGGGTTTTACTGTTAAGATATGAAAATTTAAGGTCAGCTTTTGATCACTATGTGCTGATCACTATGTGCTGTGATCGTGTAGTAATTATGGTGAATAATAAAAAATCAAATAATTAAGAAAACAAGAGAAAATAACACAGAGATTTACGTGGTTCGACAATGTGCCTACATCCACAGGAGCAAGCGACCGTTCTTTTTATTATTCAAAGTAGGGTTACATCTTAAATATTTATATAACCCTAATACGGACGTATTTACAAATTACTCATGTATCGTACCGCGAGGGCGTTGGCCCCGCACCCCCAACTAATCAGCATCCCTCCATACATAAAATATATCAATCCCACTCCGATATCTACCTCCTTGTCATTATACCTCCTTATCATTATACACTCAGTAAATATAAGCCACAAATATTCCAACACTATGAATGAATAAAAAATGGATTGCTCGGGATACAAGAGTAGGAGAAGCAGATTGTTACAATGTCATACCAAGTATCCTTGCACACCCAGACCCTAGACTTGACTTCAACCCCAATGTATTAGTTTGTACATTAGCATGTTTTATTTGGTGTATTAGTGTGTGTCTATACTAAAAGTTTTAATTATACAAATTAATTAATAGACTTAACTAAACTCGTTATGATCCAATCTATTATAACTCATTTATTAAGTCAGTTGAAAACGGATAGGATTTATTTTACAGATATTCGGTCGTGGGTACTTTTTGTAAAACTTATTTGGCTTTAAATACCAAAATCAGACTTATACTCTATTAAGTCTTTTTTTTCATTAAATTATCGTAACTAAGAACACACTTCAAATTATTTTTTATATATATTACTTAATTATTCCTACCATAAATATTGTCAATCATTGTTAGTTTCACTATTTTTAAATATAACAACTCTTAACTTGGGAATTGTGCTAGCATAAAATTATTTTTCTATCAGTAACATTAAACAGTAATATGCTCTACAAAAAAATAGTAACATCAAACAGTAACATGCTCAATAAAAAACTAAATTAAAAATTTGATCATTACAATAGAGTGACATCATATGTGAGTACTTACAACTGTTGTCTTGCCCACAATAAAATAAGTATTCATTATTTGGTGTCACTCTATTGAAATGATTAAATTTTTAATTAATTTTTTTATTAAACATGTCATTGTTTGATGTTACAATTTTTTTTTTTGAGCATGTTATTGTTTAATATTACTATATATATAGATAGATAATAGAAAATTAATTTTAATGCTACAATTCCCAAATTATGAGTTGTTAATACTAATACGAATCCCAATTTATGAGCTGTCAGGTTTTTCAAATAAGTTTTAATTAAATATAACTATTAAGGATATTTTGAACAATAAATATCAAAATGCACTAATTCTCAAACAAGTTTTTTAAGTGGACTTAAGTCCAAAAAAATCTACAAAAAGGTACCGGCCACTAAATGACACTTTATTTTGCACCAACCCATTTTAAACCAAGTCGTAACTAACACAACTCACCCATTTGTCTCCTATATTAAGAATCAATTGCATAACTACAATTTTATGATTTAACACTGATAGGTATGTAAAATTCTATATGAAAATTCTTACGTTAGTCAATAGTCACGTTCAATGTATTTGTTCTCTAACAAACATCCACACAACTGTTTCATTGTCATTACACTAGTGACTTGAACGAGTCAGCTCATATCATATGAATAAGAATATTTAATAGTTAAATACTAAAAAAATATAAGTCTCATCTTCTCAACATGTTAAAAAATTATCTTCTTAACTTATACTCTATAGATTTTATTATAGATGTTAAAATGAAATTTGCCAATAACATGATAAGTTAATTTGCCCTTATATTTAACTAATAAATAAATATTGTTAGTACAACCTTAATATCATCGATGCGATACTGATATAAGTTAGTTGAGTCAAATACGGTCGACTTGTATCCGAATCGGCACCTTCCAAGACAATATCGATACACGATACGTATAAACTCCAAAACTCGAGTTGTTCCTAAATCAATTCCGAGTCGTAGAATTATAGTCATCGAATCGTTTAATACGATTCCACAACAATGATATATGACTTGAATCTCTTGTCATATTCAACATTTTATTTTAGGCTACATTCTCTAATACCGTGTTGTGATTAACATGTTTGACTTTTCTGAGTCGATGATTGATACCGCAACATGAACCATGTCCCGGAGAGAAAATGTGAAAAGTTGAACCACAATTACAACAATGAGAGGGGATAAAAAAAAGGTACATTCCATGAGAAAGGAGACGATGATATCCTAATTTCACATATTTCAATTTGATAGATTGTTTGAAATCAGGAAGCATTCGCGACGAAGATGGTGGGATCAAGGGTGTGTTTGGTTTGGATTCAAGCAGTTTGAGGATTTGGATTGGATTGAAACTGATGTATCAATTATCAAACAACTCAGGTGATTAAAAAACTAGTTCTCTCAAATCATGACAAAAAATTTCTTAAAGCTTTCTTGAGAAAACAGAAGGGAAATGGAAATCTAAGATCCGGGTACAATCAGGGCCGGTCCAACAATTCAAAAAATAGGATATTTTGAGTGTGGGTACAATTTTTTAGACTTATTTGAGAGGAGGTGTATGTATACGTATTTTATTCTATTAAGTTCAATTTTAATAAAATATCTTGTGATTAGGTACAAAATTCAAATTTGAATTTTTTTACTTACTTACCCTTCCTTAAATTATACATAATTTTAATTCTCTCCATCTCTTTCCCTCCTCTCTTTCTATTACTCTCTCATTATCTCTTCCCTATTTTCTCTCAATCTCTCTCTTTCTCTGTTACTCTTCCTTATTTTTTCTCTCTCTATCTCTCATTGATAATTTATTTTCTTTTCAAATATGTAATAATTTGATTTAATTTTTTTATCTCTCTCCCATATTTTCTTTCTCTCACTCTCTCCCCTATTTTCTCTCACCAATGCCCTCTTTCCTTATTTTCTCTCTCTTTTTTTACATCAATGTTATAACAATACAATTACACAAATCAATTACAATTACCATATAATACACCAAACTTATGTGTTCTAATAAACTAAACAATTACACCAAACAATTACACAAAATTATGATATCAATTCAATTTGTAATTTAGTTATTTACATAAATCAAAAAATTGCACAATTTAGTATCACGACATGGTTACATTAATTATATACACTAAATTTGGTATAATGATAAAATTTTTTGTGTAATGATAAACTCAATTTGGTGTATCTAATTGGTGTAACCATGTTATTATACTAAATAGTATAACTATTTAGTTTATGTAAACAATTGAATGACAAATTGGGTTGATATTGTAATTTCGAGTAAATATTTAATATAATTATTTGGTTTATTAGAATACATGAGTAATTATTTGGTGTATTATAGGGTAATTAATTGGTGTAACTGTGATGTTGTAACATTGATATAAGGAGAGAGAAAATAAGAAGAGAAAGAGTAATGGTAAGAGAATATAGGGGGAGAGAGAGAAAAAAAACAGAGGAAAGAGTAGAAAAAATTAAATCAAAACTTTACATATTTGGACAATAAATAAATTATCAATGTGTGAGAAAGAGATAAAGAGAAAATAAGGAAGAAAGATTGAGAGAGTAATAGAGTAATAAATGACATTTTAGTCTTTTTTCAAAACATATGCACTTAGGGCCAAATAAATTTCTTTAACGTAGTTTAACTCAATTAAATCTAAATCTTTGTACTGGCTTCCAAATTCCCCTAAAAAATGCAACAAATTTTTAGGTCTCATAACTTAGAAATATTATTGGTCCACAAAAAAATTTTCAATCTATTAAATTTAAACTCAAAGAAAAACCCCAAAAAAATGAGTCTAATCGAAATTTTTATTGTAATAATTTTGGTACATGATCCAATTCATTACATTAAAATTNAAAAAAACCCCAAAAAATGAGTCTAATCGAAATTTTTATTGTAATAATTTTGGTACATGATCCAATTCATAACATTAAAATCTTAAAAATTAAAAGTTAAAAAAATAAAAATGTACTTAAAAGTCATCTTATATTTATTCCACTCCTTGCTCTCCAATAAAAAAAATTTAAAAATAAATTCAAAACTCTCTCTCTCTCTCTCTCTCTCTCTCTCTCGGAAATAAAAGAATCTCTACTAGCGCATCCTTCTTTTCTCTATGACATAAAAAAATTAAAAATAAATTAATTTTTTAAAATTAATATTAAAAATAAGATGATCTTATTTAATATTTTTTGCTTTAAACTTCAAATTACCTTGAGCTACCCTGATACTAATATCAAGTAAAATATCCATTACCTAATTAGTTAATGATTGGGGACAGCCGATTAATCTTCAAGCAATGCAGATGCAAAAGCAAAGATCGTAGACATTTGAAAGTGCAGAAAAATGTTGGAAAAAATCAAACGGTTTTGATGTGGAAAGAGAGTGTCTGCGCCTTGTTGGGATTTTTCACGATTTAAATCCACTAACAAACACACACAATCGAAAAACAAATCAAGAATATAAAGCAATAAGAAACAAGAAAGAACAAGACACAGATTTTACGTGGTTCGGCAATTTGCCTACGTCCACGAAGCTGCAGGGATTTCACTATTGAGAGAGTTGAATACAGAGAGCGGCTGTACAATCCACGATAAACTCTA